ACACTTTTTAACAAGAGAATATATTGTTCCAGGATTTGTTCATTATATTCATCATTCTTTCTTCAGTTGTGAGATGGTCTGGATACATTAAAATCTTTGTCACAGGTATCTGTGGAGAACATAAACAGAATAAATGTTGTCGGGTATAAGGCGATGAACTTTGTACTTGAGGGTTTTTTTGGTTACTTGAAATTACCCATTTGGAAACAACAGATCGGTCTTTTAGTTGTCTTTAATTTTTTTTAATTACTAAGAGAAAAAGTGACACAGGCTTATTGTCGAAAGTGGAAAAATGCAGAATAATTATAAAGAAAAAATTATAGTTTCCTCCCTATTAAAGAAAACTCAAAAGTGTGTCCTTTTCTGTGTATATATTCATACATATATCATAAAATCATATTTTCACCACCCCTTTTATAAAAACAAATGAGGGTCATATTCCATATATTAGTAAACTTGCTTTTTTTTTTTTTTTTTTTTTGAGACAGAGTCTCACTTTGTTGCCCAGGCTAGAGAGTGCCGTGGCGTCAGCCTGCTCACAGCAACCTCAAACTCCTGGGCTCAGAGGATCCTCCTGCCTCAGCCTCCGGGTAGCTGGGACTACAGGCATTGCGCCACCATGCCCGGCTAATTTTTTTATATATATAATATAGTTGGCCAATTAATTCTTTCTATTTTTATAGTAGAGACGGGTCTCTTGCTCAGGCTGGTTTTGAACTCACTACCTTGAGCAATCCGCCCGCCTCGGCCTCCCAAGAGCTAGGATTACAGGCGTGAGCCACAGCGCCCGGCCAGTAACTTGCTTTTTTTAGTGTAATAAATCATACTCTTTTAGTATACCTGATATAGGTTGCTCAGATATTTATTGAATGTAAATCAATATGTACATATATTCCTTAGTGTAATATATCTACATGTTTATTAAACCATTTCCCGTTTGATGAATTCACAGTTTTTTATTTTTTGCTATTTTAACAATGTTGCAGTAAACATATTTGCACACATTTGTAACAATGGTGCTTTTATTTTTGTAGGTTAGATTTTAAAATATGGGTTGTTTAGTAAAGAGTAGATGTGATTTTATTTTAGTAGATGCTGCCAAAATAATTTGAACAAAGGTGTTAGTCACTTACTAATCTTACTTGCAGTCTTTGAGAGCATCTGTTTTCTTTCACATACTGGATGATACCCGGTTTTTAAAATTTTTGCCATTGTGCTGGGGGAAATGATATATCTTTGTTGTAATTTGGATTTGCTTGTCACTACTGAGTTTGAGCACATTTCATACATTTATTTTGTCCAATTTAATATTGGGTTACAACAGTCCCCCTCTGCCATTTCACTTTCTGTGGTTTCATTTACACATGGTCAACTATGGTCTGGAAATATGAAGATATTTTGATAGAGACTGCGTTCACATATCGTTTCTGTATCAATTAACACCTAGGTTTTTATTTCAGGCAGACCTCTCCTGAGCTCCAAAATATTATCCACTGTGGTTGTTTACTTGATAGCTTCCTATTTAGATGTCTCAGAGGCTCTCAAGTCTGTGGTTTGAAATTAAAATGTTGATCTTCCTCCTCGACAACCTAGTCTTCCAGTTTTGTTGTGTAAACTATTCTTATACAAAAGTTAAGAAACCTAGGTATCATTCTGAAAAGAGTTCCTAGCTACTAATTTTCAATTCTTTTGCTTGTATATCACTAAACAGTGTTATAAAACTGTGTACCCCATCACTGAAGTAAATTTCTGAGTTCACCCTTTTTTTCCTTGGTTTGGGAAGGAGAGCTTGCATTGTATCCAGGGCAGTGCATCCATAGTAAGATTTAGGGTGGGAGAGGGGCCTGCCTTTCTTCTGAAAATGACGAAAGGGCTATTGTGAAAGGAAGATGGGAGGCAGGAAAGGATCAGCTTAGAAGTTCCCAAGAGGCATTCTTCAGCAGATGTATCTGGTCCCTACTACTTCTTCAGCCTTGTCTCATGGCCCTCCGTTCCTTTGAGGTACACAGCACACACACTTTTTAAAGTGAAAGTGAACTTAATAGCTGTTGAAAGTGAAGATATAGGGTAGTGCATGGATCTTGATGAGGAATTAGTGATAACACCAGAATTTCATTTCTCATCCATCTCTCATTTCTGATTCCTCTCATTCGTTTCCTAATGGTCAGCAGCATGACTGGCAGTGTTCCAGCTTCATACCTTCATACCCTCTGGCCTCTTTGCCAGTTGATTGTAATTATGAGATTAACTCTGATTTAATCTGATATATAGGACTTTCAATCTTCCTTATTGGTACTCCTATTGGCAATTCATGTTTTATATCCATTTGATTAATATTTTAATCTCCCTGACTAGACACTGTACTCCATAGGCAAAGACCGAGTGTCTATTTTTGCTCACCTTAATCTCCCTATTGCCTTGCTCTAATACACCGTTTATGTAGATATATTTGTTAAATAAATGAACAGTAATGTGTTAGCTGTTTGGCAAATGATTGGCTCGTAGAACAGCAGTCCCACACATTTTTGACCCAAGGACCAGTTCATAGAAGAACATGTTTTCCAGATGAGGGATGGAGAGACATCTGTTAAATATACGATGAGCTTCGTCCGTGGCTTCCCTGGCGTCTCTGGCTTCCGGCTGTCCCTCCGCTCCACTCCTGGCTGCCTGTTCCTACTGGTTCCCTGGGGGTTGGGGATACAGCCTCTAGAGGAAGAAACATGTAGCTATCTTAAACTCAGTTTATCATGCAGAGGAGAGGAAAAACAAACATCACTTAA